TTACTTTTGTGCTATAAAACGTAATTTTTTCTTGGCTTTTATCAATTTGATCATCCACACCGATAGAAAGTATTCCGAAATGAGGAAAAACAGGTCTTGTTTCACACCGGGTAAGAATAGCCTACGCTGGCAAGTCTCCCCCGGGGTGAGAGGTAGATCGTATCTATTCTCACCCCGGGTGAGAATAGCCACTTCCTTAGGCTATTGTTATGGGACTGTACATCCCAATAGCGGGCTTGGCGCTACGGGACCGTAATCCCCCATAGTGTTTGGCGCTATAATGGGACCGTACGCCCAACACATGCGACTACCTGCAAGGCGTAAAATGGGCTACGATTGGCTGAACCTGTGGGTACTCTGGGAATTCCTGGTTTCGGTCTCGCGCCTTTGACCGTCTTCTCACAGGCAGGTTGAGTGCTCTTATGAAAGAAGAAGGAGAGTTGAGGAGGAGGATCCGATGTGTAGATGGAGGAGAAGAAATGAAGAAGAAAAAGGAGGAGGAGATGAAGAAGAAGAAGGAAAAGAAGAAGGACGAGAAGGAGGGAGGGAGGAGAAGAAGAAGAAGCAGGGGGGCGAGGAGGAGCAGGAGAAATTAGAGGAGGATGAGAACAAGAAGAATGAAGAAATAGAAGGAGAAGAAGAAGAAGAATCTAGTATAGTAATACACGTTGCAAATTGGGGACTCTTTCGTTTGTTACCCTACCTTGGGAAAGAGAGAGAGAGTGACAGGGAGGGTGACGTGTCGTCGAGAGCGCCAAGAGTAGCCTACCGTAGGCTTAATGGATTCATGGGTCACAGGTTCAGCCAATCGTAGTCCGGTTTACGCCCTGCGTGTAGTCGCATGTATGCCCAACTTGCGCTGAGGTTTGGTGTTAAGGAACCGTTCACACCCTCCCAACCCCATCGTTCGCCTGAACATTCCCTTCGCCAACTCTCTCTCTCTATCTCTTCCTTTCTCTCCCTCCTGCTCTTTGATTTCTTTTATCGAATGAACAGTACCGATCTTTATTACTTTATTTCTCAGGATGGTTTCCGGCTTCTGGTCTCGTGATTTTTTGCCTATTTTCGATAGTTCGGCGGCATCGGCTGCAACTTTCATTTTGACATTCTGCGAGGTCTGGGAAGGAGCAAATTTTTGGGTCTAAATCTAGATATCTATTTCAATTTTCAAGAGCTAGTCTAGAGATTTTTAGATAAGTGTAAAAACGTGAAAAAGAACGTTTTCAGAATTGAATGAAATCAAAATTAGAACAGCCCATAAACAACTACAAAAATTAACCAATGAGTGCGTGTGTCCACCTGTCCGAAGATGATTGGCTGTTTTATCCCTAAATGTGCGTAATTTTTTAAAAAGTCCAGGATATTACATGTAAATTATGGAATCACACACAAGGGGCCTGCCAGTGTCAGTACATGTAATCGGTTTTGGTGGAACGCTCTAAATCTCGCAAATAATATATTATATATATATATATTACGTATATATATTTAGAATCTAATGAAGGTAGGAACATCAAATCGAATGACGTTACACTATACAACATCCCCCCGCCCCTTTTTTTTCCCCAACAAAAAAAAATTAATAGAAAAACAACACATCAGAACAATAACAAGAAATAAATAAAACACACCAACAAAATAAAACACCACAAAGAGGGAAAAATTGAAGAGGAACAGCAATACAAATCGTATGTACCTGTAACGTATTCAACAAATCAACGTGGTGACAACAAGTGAGAAAGAGACGAAGTAAAGCTAAGTGAACTTTTTTTCAAAAGTAAAGAGGTTCGGTTTCTTTTTTTTCTCTTTAAAAATTTATTCCCTGATTCGGGGATCAAAAAAATGCCAAAAAATCGAGCCGCGGTTGATTGGTCGCTTCTGCGACAAACGCAGATGCTAGTTTTATGTGTCGTTATCAATAACCCTCCATAGATCTAGATCTAGATCTAGACAGCACACGAGTGAACACAACACATTAAGTTTAAGAGCAGCACCCTTCATAGGCAACACGTCATGTCTGTAGCGAAAAACTGTTTAGAACTGTAGCATTTCTTTATATACATATTTACTGCTGACATTTTTTTGACCAATTGAACCATATATTGTATACGAACAATCTTTGGTAGGCCTATAATATAATTATAGATATGACCTTAGCAGTTGCGAGCGCCGTAAAACCTTATACTGTACATAATTATAGATCTATGTATATATTCCGAAATTTGTGGGAAAGGATGTGATTTCAGAGTGTTCGGAGAAATAGTGCCCAGCTTTATTTTCCCAAACGTTTGGAGATATAGTGCCTAGCTTTGTTTTCCTGAACGTCTGAGAAATAGTGCTCAGCTTTATTGTCTCGAACATTCGGAGAAGTAGTGCCCAGCTTTATTTTCCTGAACGTTCGGAGAAATAGTGCCAGCTTTCTTTTATTGACGCTTAACAACAACGTTGGTGCAGACGTGAGCAAATTTCAAATTTTTGTTCACCCACCGCCGCTGGATACCCCACAATCGTATTCAGACTTTTTAAACCTTCTCCTAGTAATAACTTTTAACGTCAGGAACTCCGTAAATTAAACTGGCCGTTTTCCTCCAGTATTGTTGCAAAGTCCAGATGCATGCACATCTACGTACGATCCCTTAACACCAATCCTTAGCGCAAGTTGGACGTACGGTCCCCTAGCGCTAAACACTCTAGGGGCGTACGGTCCCCTAGCGCCAAACCTATGGGGACGTATGGCCCCCTAACTTGAGCCAGAAATCTCTTTCTCCGAACGTTTTCCGTCTTGAGATTCTTTGGTTATTTGCGTGATTTAGGTGTCATCGTTCATTCTGCCATTCTGTTTGCGAGAACTCTAAAATGCTCTCCTTTCACCTTCTTTTCTCTTGCTCTCTGTGTTCTGTCGTCTGCTTTCGTCTCCACTTTCTGCCCCCCACCTCCTGGGCTCCGGACTCTTTCTGCAGCCTTTCTACTACTACTCCTTGGCTCCTCCTGACTGCTGTCTTTCAGCCTCACCCCTGATCTTTTTATCAGGGATTCCACTTTTCCGCTTTTTTCTGGTATTTTCGGTATTTGGATCCTGATACGCTATTCCTTTCTTGAGATCGAGATAGAATCTTAAGTTCTCTATGTACACCCTTGGTTTTCAAATTGATATTCATATGTTGGCGAGACCGTGGCGCGTGGATTTTCAACTATTTTCAAAAAAGTTGAGTGGCATCCCTGTTTTATGGTAGGTAAAATCTAGGCCTAGATATCTACACCTGACCTTCTTGGAAGGGCGAAAAATCCTGGAAGGTCCGGTGTACAAGTTGAGCACGTTAACCTTATCCGTATGTCATGTTTTACTATCGTATCCATATGACATGGGGAACTCTGTGAAATTTACTGGTTATTCCGATCTGTACGCTTTGGATAGCAGTCTGTCAAAATGATTTTTTGAGAAATACTGAAAGTTTCACAGAGATCTTTGCACTAGAAGTATTCTGAAATGTGAAGAATACAACCTCTGGTTGAAAACTGTTTAAAAGAAATTGTACCCACCTTTCTCTCTCTGTCTCACATGCATGCATGTATGCAGGCTCTGGTGCACGCATGCACACACACACACACACACACACACACACACACACACACACACACACACACACACACACACACACACACACACACACACACGCACACTGTTGTCACACACACACACTCTCTTTCTCTCTCTCTCTTTCTCACACCCACACACACACTAGCATGAGTTGTAACAACAATATATGATGATGGTGCCTTTATTTATCTCGGAGCGTGAGATTCTTGGCAGCGTCTGTGCCGAGGTTTGACCACAGCTTATCCTTTGAAGTGAGCTGATGCCTGACTGCCGGGCGGTGGTATTGTAATTGTTAGGCATAGCCTAGTATAATACTTAGCTGAGATTCCGCCCCGACCCCCCTCCTCTGGCTTGGGGACTCCTGAAGGAAGGTGGCTCTTGGTAAGAGGGTGTGAACTGGGTATGGAAATTTTTAGACATTATGCTTGCTCGGAACTTTTCGGAAAGTCTTGTGACCTCCTGTGACTGAAATTATCGGCCAGTCTCTGTTTACACTGTTTTTGAATTGCCAAAAGGAATTTTTGTCAGACAATTTATAACAACAAATTGTGTTGGCATTTGAGGAAAATGTTGTGCTGTTAAAGGGAGTTATTTATATAATATAGGAAAAATTTCGTTGCACAAGCTAAAGTAACTGTTAAGGCGGTTGTCGCTCTGTCTGGGCTGCTATTAAGTGGACAGCACTATATAAAAACGTTTTCCTCCTTTTTTGACTGGGTAGTAAATTAATGTATGAAATAATTTCTCTTTCTTTCTGTCCATCTTTCTGATCCACTCTTTTCCATCTTTTTTATTTCCTTTCACTATATTTCAGTCTCTATATCGAGTAAAATACGACCCTCCTCTTTGGGGAATGGATATTGAACCCCGGTCTCCTGTGTGACAGGTGGGGATGCTTACCGCTGTACTACTGATGACATACACTCCTTTAATTTATTGCAAAATTTTAGAGATTATATTTGACATGGCTTCCAGGTGAATCTCCATTTTTGCACACGAAGTACACGTTCAGCAACTGTGCTAAGTGCGGACAAGGTGAATTATTCTATTCATCAGTGTATCATTCTGGGCTAGAGGATCATAGACCTGAGTTCTGCATAATACGATTGGTGAAAAAGACACACAATAACAGAGCTGAATGCTTTTAAGTAATTAGGAATGCAGATTGTCTAGATTGTATTTTGTTTTGTTTAGTGTTATCAGTGTCTTTCATATTTTGTTTCCATGCCTTTAGGTCTAAACAATTGAGTAAGTTTTTCTCTGTATACCTCTACTGTGATTTACATTTGCTTGGTTCAGGTAATTAAGTATATGGGTTAGGGGTAAAATTAGGGTCAGCCCTAACCGTATTCCTTGCAACCTGAATCAAGGATTATATAGGGTTATTAAAGATTATTGGGTTAAGGCTTTGAAATAAAGTAAGGATTGTGAGGGGCCTACCTTATAATTATTATAATGACATTCTTGCATGGTCGTGGTATTACGATAGAAAAAAATTTATGGACTGGCTTTGTCGATTTTAAAAAGTAAAGTTTTACTTTTAAATTCTCCTTGAAAATCTGGTGAGTGGCTTAAAAAGAGCCACCAATTAGTCTACTGACAGACCTCTTGTATTCTTCTTGACTTGTGTCAATGTAAATTTATTGTTATAATGACCTAATCTTGAGGCCCATGTTAGGGCTCTCGTGGCCAAGAGGCACGGTATTCATCTCATGATCTTTCACAAGGTCCCAGAATTGATATCTGACAAAAAAACAACATTATCTTAAAATTTTTCCTTTCACCTTCTTTTCTGTTCTCTAGTTGTGTTCTGTCATCTGCTTTTATCTCCACTTTCTTCCACAACCCCCGGCCTCTTTTGAGTTCCTCTCTCCATAAGCTCTTGGCTCTTCCTACGTCTACTCCGAGCTCCTTCTTACTGCTGTCTTTTAACCGTACCACTGACTGATCTTGGGGTAAGTGAGATCGAACTTTTAGTCTTCTCAGATAAGAGCGAAAAATCTGTGAGGCCCCGTGTGTAAGTTGCGCTCGTAAAAAAGTCCTTGGTAGTCCTAAAATGATAAGAGTAGGCTTCGTCGCCACCCGAGCAAAATACCTTTTAGTAACTGAAAATACTCTTGTCTGCATAAAAAAGACAAAAAAGAGTACCTTGGAAATCGAAATGTGGCTGCCTGAAGGCAAGGGTCCTTATGAAGTAGGAAAAACAGTCACGACATATAAAAAAGTCAGTCGCACAGCAGGTTGAAGAGCTCTACTTTCAAAACACACATGTAATTTGTTCTCTGTTTATTAAATGTTGACTCAAGCATGCCAAAGTATTTGTAAAGTTGATCCTCACATTTTTGCTTGTTTGCAGTGATCATGAATTCTATGCTAACCTTGGCCTTGGTGGCCTGTTTTGCGGCATGTGCCTGGGCCTGCTGTACTCCTGACCAATGGGAAGGCTATGAGGGTTCTAGTGCAGGATACGCCAAGTTCTTTAAGAAAGGAGCAGTTGTGGTGAGACTTGTTTGCGATTTCCCTCTCTGCATAGCTGTGCTGAGTGGTTAATTTAGGTGGTTTTCTTTCCCTGGGAAGATATTTGGTTGGGCTGTGCGTAGTGTCGCGGTTTGTTTGTAATTTAGGCAAAAGTGTAATCTTTTGTCTTTGTTGTTTGAAATAGGTGCCAGTTCTCAAAAGCCATTTCCATTCACAGATGAAATGGACATTTGGTTGAATGATTGAAGTGTGAATGTAACAGCATGCTGCTTTTTTCCGTGCCCCATGAACAAATACATGTGTAGACTTTAAATAAAACTGCAGGTCCCTCTAGTCAGTTGAGTGAGTTGTATGGTAGTAGGAATTTTCCATGGAAGGTGATAGGATCAGGAAAGTATGAAATGTCACTTCGACTGACGTTGTGGGAATTTTTATTGGTAATATTCAAGCTTTTTATGCATGATTTATCAGATTTCTGGTCTAATATGATAAATGTTGTTATTTCCGTCACACGAGAATTCATATCATTTGTGAATTTTGTGTCCATTAAACTTTTGATCTTTTGTCCTAAAATCCTTCCAATAGTAAATAGCGATATATAAGGCTTTGACTTGGACAAATAGTGAAACTCAACCCCCCTTGGCGTCCCAACCCTACCTGCAGAAAGCTTGATAATGGAATGATTTAAGTCATGACAGTAGCAGGGTTTCAAAACTGGTTAATCCTCCTTCACTTCTCAGAGCAATGCGTCATATGTGAATGTATTTTTTCTTAATTTGAAGCACGACGTTATACTTACTCCTGCTCTTCATAGGGAGGTAGTAATAGGACTTCCAGCAGGATATATATATATATATATATTATTTTATGTTGGACATCAATTATTAAAAGGGGATGAAAATCAATGAGGGCTGAGATAAAACATATCTGGAACATTTCAAAGCTCATTCTTTAGTCAGACTATTCAGTTGTAATTAATTTCCTCCGTTGCAAATTCTTCTTTCACGCTGCTCCAGTGTTGCAGTTTTAGTATACTATCTCTTTCTCTCTGTTAAGCATACTGGCCAGCTTCCGTTGCATTAATTCTCAGTCATTTGACTGCTACTGGTTTATTTAGACATAACTATACTGACAGAAACGGGGGGGGGGTTTAGTGTTCTATGTTTTCGACAGTTGACATTTTATTTAGCATTTTTAATCAAGGGGGGGCACGGGAGAATTCATGAACCCCCTTTGGCTTGAATGATGAGTTGAGAGAATTATAATAATCCCCTACAAAAATACTTTGAAAATAGGGATTTGATGTGATCATAACAAAGACATTTTACATATTTGTAGATTTGAACAGTTTCTGTGTACAGTTTATGCTGTTGTTGTGAATGTGGTCCAGTGAGATATCCTTTTTTCTTTGGAGGCTGATGACATTTTTCTCTTATTGAATAATCTTTTTGTTTGATGAGTGTCCAGTCTGTGGGAGAGCCACTGGGAAAACCAGAAAAATAATAAATTATATGAAATTAAACCCAGACTAGAACAGCGAAATCCTTCGGATCTCTCCAGAAGAGACGAAGTCATTTTTACTCGATTGCGCATCGGACACACGGCCCTGACTCACAAATACCTCCTACAGGGAGAGGAGAAGCCGTTCTGTGTCGGATGCGACACAGATTTTACCATTAGACACATTTTAACAGAATGTCTAGACTTTGGAGAGATCCGAAGGAAATATTATAAATGCAAGAAATTACAGGATATTTTCTCCGTCGTTGTTCCCAGCAGAATTTTAAATTTTATAAAGGCCATTGGCCTTTATGGCGAGTTGTAAAGTGAATCTGATATTATTTAAAATTTTTATTTAAAAGTTGTTTTAGATCACAAATGTATTTACACCGAATTTGAATATTTTAACTTTTTAGCATTTTAAAGTAAATTAGTTACCAGTCGTGAAGTGAACTTTCGTAGAGGTGAACAACTTGTGTTTCGCGCGCTCATATGACCTTAGCAGTTGCGAGCGCCGTAAAACCTTATACTACTACTACTGATGAGTGTGCTCAGTTTATTTAGATGCGAACTTTCAAGCCCTCCATATTTTAATTTTGAGCATCTGGAAAAATGGTTTACGTTTTGTTTTGAAAAGTGAAAAATAGATTATAGAAACAGTAAAAATATAACAGAAAGTAAGATTTAGTGTAATGTCATCAATATTGATTTGTCCAAACTTTGACGTTCATTGGTTTACAGATATTCAGCACTCAAAACAAGCTGTCAGAAACCTGATGTTAGCCCAGTGATTGCTTATGAACTTCATGTGTCTGACAAAGATTATAACCATTTTCTCATTGATCAATTTATTGGTGCATATTTGAAATTGAGACTTCGCTGACTCTGAAAAAATCAATGTGTTTTCAGGAACATGCTTATGTTGCCTATGACTACACCAACCGTAGATCTGCAGTTTTCTTGAGCTACATCAATGGAGATTATGAGAACAAGTTCCAGATTGTGACCAGATATGAAGAAGATGATAACGATAAGGTGAGAAAATATTTTAAAGATTGTTCTATTTCACTTGTCAGCATCAAGTGTGTGTCTTCCCAGTATTGCTTTTTTGGAAGACTGTATTCATTATGTTTAATCTTTATAAACACTGTTTAATCTCTTTGGTTGGCATGATGCTGACATCTGAAGTTGTATTCTATCTTACATTCCATGATATGTTGTTTAGCATGTACCACAAACATTATGATGTAATTGGAACAACATACATAAACTGTGGTTGATTTTTGAGGGGGCCCTCAAGAACTTGTGTAAAGCTCTCCTCTGGATTTAAATTTTGCTTACCTTTTTTAGTGCAGCTTCTCTCTGGAATCTTCTGTGCTTGAGATTTTCAAGCCATCAACTCCAAACGAAGTTATGGGAAAATAAAGTTGAAAAGTAGAAAGAGATACCAATTAAGAAAAGGGTAGTTGAAATTTGTGTTGGCAGATAATACAGAACCCTTGCTGTATGTCATACACTTCATATAGGTGTCCACATCTTCTTATTCCTTTTTTTATTTACACTAACCAAAAGTTCACTCTAGGCTATGTGTAATATCAAAGCACAGATTGAAGTTAAAACCCACCAAAATGAAACACTTAATCTGTTGACTGAGAAAAAATTTAAGCCAAACTACATTTAGGTAGTTGCCACGTTGCAAAGAATTTTTTTTTGTGTGTATTTTTTTTACAAGAATCTTAAATTCTTGTATGGTCCCTTAACTAGTGACACAGAATGGTATGTAACAAGTACAGTGGAATCCTGTTATAACGAGAGGGAGGGGACCGAAGCAAAATGTCTGTTATAGCAGGATTCTCGCTATAAGGGATCCAGTAATAAATTCAAGGGAAACTGTAAAGTAGGCCTAATCTATGGGTTTGGTGTTCTGTTTTTCCTTTTGCTATCTCCCCTGGTGAAGATTTTGTTTCAGCGTGACCTCTAGGTCTTACTTGATCATAAATCGAATCAGGTTTGTTTCTCTAGCGCTAGATCTAGCGATGTAGACTGACAGCTCGGTGCTGGCGATCAGAAAGAAAGGGCTCTGGGCTAACTCGCCCGCTGTGTTTCCCCCCCACCCTACCCCACCCTGTGGTGCATTCTGTCTGCTTGCGCACGTCACACATTCCCTCCATCCATCACATTGCTGTGACCTCTCCATCCCCGCATCGGAGAAGTGAGAGGCATGGCAGGCCTTGATAATCTAAACTGGCCTATCACGCGATGCGTTCTGCTTGTCTGTGCTTGCCACACCCTCCCTACTCAGTTGCTCCGGCCTTCATTGTTGACGCACATGGGCTCTCATATTCTTTGTTTCGCAAGATCAGCAACAAGTTTCTCAACTGGCGAGGTCTTGCATTATGTATAATTGGCCTATGCCATGTGCACAGCAGCAGCAATATTCCGCTATAACCGACTCACAAGTGTGTCTGATAACGCTATAGCAGTATTTTGTTTACAAAGGTAAAGAGGAGAAAAAAACGGGGTTTTAGAATAGCGCCTTTATAACAGACTTCTCGTTTTTTCCGGACTCGTTATAAGTGGACTCCACTGTAATGGTTTAATGATGGTCAGATGCATAAGTCTGATATGTCTAAAATGTAATACTCCACTCACTTCTCTCCCTCCCCACCGCCACCGTTTTTTCCCCTTTTGTTTCTGTTTAAAGGAACGTCGCATGTACTTTGTGGATGAAAAGAAGAACAAGTGCTGGACTAAAAAGTTGGAGCGTGAATTCCACAAGGCCTGTATTCCCAGTAAGTAAACATGGCATCTTATTTGAAATAGAATTTAGATGAAGAAGTATCCGTGCTCATAGTGCTGTGGGTCTGCTGTAGCTGATGAAGACTGTATTTGGACTTTCCCGGCAGATCTGCAGAAAGGACTACATTAAGAAAAAAAAAATCCCAAACTCTTACTGAAAAGCTAGTCACTTCTATTATTTGTAGTGATGAGGATCTGTTGTTCATATTCATTGATAAGGAGTCCTAAGATACAGCAGACCCATGATAACAATTCCTTAATTAGAAAAGTGTATGGACAATCAAATGGTATTTGGTAGCTGAAAAGAAGATTGGAGCTTCAGTGAATGGAGAATGGTTTATGCTCTTTATGTAAATATCCTTGCAACATTGTGCTCTAATAAGTTATCACAGGGAATTCTTTCAAATTTTGAAAGCAGCTCTAGAATCTTTTATCTTTTTCTATTTCTGTTTTATATTGGTTGGAAAGAATGTTGGTCTTGCATCACACTTGGGACTTCGGACTATGATGAGTTAGACAGTTTTGAGCAGTTTGTGACAAGTATCGCCTCTGTTTCTTAGTTGGCTCTCCTCTTTGTGCCCTGGCCTGTATCCCCTGATGCTCATAGAGAGGAGAAGGCAGCACTCAAGGATGTGATGAGTGTCTTTATTGCTGGGTCTACTTGTAAATGATAGATGTAGGCTGTGCTAATGGCCTGTAGACTTTTTGTCTGTCCTTTCCTATTATTTATTCATTATATTGTTTTATCTCTGTTTCAACATTATTATAATGATCTCTCCCCCGGGGCAGTGCCACTGACTGTAGTGTCTTTAGGCCATTCCCAAAGGGGGGACATTTCTCGTTCAAGCATAGTAGAATTGTAAATGGGCTGACTCATCATGTCACGCTCATAACTGTGCCTGATCTAAAACAGGGAACTGCTGCTTTTTCTTTCCTAATCCTTACTATTGTCATTTTCTTCTACTCCTTTTGTATGTTTGTCACTCTCTTGTGACCCGCTATTTCCGGGGTGCCTTAATAGTCGAAGCAGACATTGTGCTGTTGAAGCTAGAGAGGTGAGCAGAGTAAGTCTGATTCCCTGTAAAGGCTTCTCTGTTGACACCTACCCCTTGGCGCTCATATGACCTTATGCAGTTGCGAGCACCGTAAAACCTTCTTCTATATAAAAAATATATAATGATCTCTCTGGCAAGTGAAGTGGGTGGTAGGGTTGTGAATAGACAAGCTGTTCACCACCTGAAGATGCCGCCTCTCTTAATAGCACTCTTGAATGCCAACTATGTGCAGATTACATGCATATGATGTAGTACTCTTCGCTTGAGATAATGACAGTGAATGTTTGGTTTTATTATAAGGATCAACCATACTGTTTCCCTCCTTCAAATATGATCTGGGGATGCTAAGAAAGTTATTATGTTTGAGAATACAGTCTAGCATGTACATGGCATAATTGACGAGATGCAGAAATAATTTTGTTTTGTATGAATTTTGCTATGTACTATGTACATGCTTAAAATACCAAAAAAAATATATGTGTGATGAGAAAACATTTGGGGCATGAAAAGTCTTTTCATTGTATGTGTGGTTCACTATGTGCATGTTTTCTATGTGTGTGCTAGTAGATTATCTTTTTTTTTTTCAGAGTTCATTTTATGCAAAGTTTGTTTTACTAACTTAAATGTATCCATCTCTGCCATCTTTCCTCCATTCTTTCCTTGTCTTTTGTTATTACCTCTATGCCTAGTTCTGATCACATATGTGATCACATGTATAAACACATGCAAATCTTTAATTAATCTCTGATTTCAACACATTTCAACTCCACAGAGGATGCTAAAGAACATGGATCATACTATTTGGGCCTGAAGGGTGGCTTCAAGGTTCGTAGCTTTGATGTTGCGAAGGGTCCCATCTACGCATTTGTCACTGTCGCTGATCTTGACAATGACCTTTGTGTACCGGTCCTGGAACAGCTCTCCGGCAAACTGAGAAGGAGTAAGTATATGGGAATACTTAACGCTTTATTTTGGACATTTATTTAAATTTCTTAGTATTTCTTCATTAGAGGTTTTGAAAAATTATATATTTTTAAAAGTGATCCTGATAAACATGCTGATCAACTTCTCTTTTCTAGATACAAGCCCACTATAAGTATGATGGAAAGAGATGGGATAATATTTTGTCACTCTCAATACCGATGGCTGCTGCTTGGGAGAAAAAATAACAATACATGTTTTTTTTACTTAAGAATTATGTGGAGTATGAAATAATGGGACACTAAGTGATATGGACCTAGCTGAAAGAAATGCCATTATCTGTACTTAGTTTGAGTTTGACCAAATGAAAGGTGACTTTTGTTTAAAAGCAATATTAGTTTATGCTGAAATCGCCTAAGCTTCACGAAAACTTTAAGACAGAAAGGGCTGGTTAGTTTGGTAGTAAGGTGTTTGCTTTTCATGCCAAAGTATGTAAACCTGTTCAGACTCAGCTGAAGGATTTTTTTTTCGTTTTCATTTTTCATCAGATTTTTTTTTCACATGGTGTTAAGACCAAGTGCCTAATTTTCTCAGATAAAGACCACAGAATAGATTGCCTGGTGCACATTTTTGGGGCAACTTTTTAAAAAGGAAAATTTCAAGAAGAAACTACAATCAATATATCGGTGAAACAAAACCTGTTGTTTGTAATACTATAATATACTGAATAATAAAATGTATTGTTTTGTTTTTTTCACAGTCAGCTTCATACAGGACACACAATTTGTGGACCTCACACCAGGCATTAAAAACGCCACTGTATTTGATGTCCCGAAGCAGTGTGATGAGGTCAGTCTAGATTTTCAATTATACTACTGTATACTACAGGATTGCTTTTTTTTTTGTTTTTAGATATTTTAAATACAAAAATAGAAGTTTTGAATTTGTCATGCTCATTCATACATGAAAAAAAATAGGATGAAAAAAAGCTCCTTGACATTTCTTTGAACTTCTTGGAAAAGATTGTTTTCAGTCATGGAAAATTTGATGCCTTTGAAACTTATATGCTGTCAGATTAAACGTGTTGTGCAATACTTACTGGTACTATGCACTAAATAGAAATAGAACTGAAGAGATACAGAAGAGGCTATTTGGTGGACAATTTGGATAATGTGTTTGGATTATACTGAATATTGTTGGCAGTGAGAGTGAGAAAGACATTCATTCTTACTTTCTTCTTCAAATGAGCTTGGTTATAAGATAAGATAGGATACATCTTTATTGTTCAGTTCCTGGCACATTGGTTTGGTGTTCTGCTACGTAGACACATACACACACACACACACACACACGCACTCACTCACTCATAGACACATACTCACACGAACATGCCCACACACGCAGTCTTACTTTCCCATGCATAATAATATAAATGAACGGAAATATAACCCTCTGGTGCCCAGGTATAGAAATCATTGACAGAAAAATTTCATTTTCACAGAACATGTTCAAAAGGAAGTACAATAACCAAATTTGAAAGTTTCTTTCATCTAAAACTTGTATTAAAAAAGTTACAGACCGTGCCTAAAATGGCACATTAGGCATTTGGGTATTATGTGCCAGATATGTCACACTGGGTAGCGTTGAACAAATGTATCATGTTTTTCTTGGGTGGAATTCTTCAAAACAGTTTCGCTCCTTGTTCAGACAGAGATGAACCATACACTTCCTACACAAGATGTAGGTCTTTGAGTCATATTAAGGCGTTTGCATCGTTGCCGGTCGGCATGGAGAGGAAGATGATCCACGCGATCAAGCCGTGTGTCGACAGTTGGGGGCCTCACTTGAGTGCTAGAGCGTGAGAGAAACTGAGGACTCCCAGCTGCAGGTCGTCCAGGCAACCTTTCGACGGTAACCTGACTGTCGGCAATCGACTGATGGAAGTCACATAGCTTGACTGGGGGCTGCTGAAGCATCAGTGACGACGATATCTCAGCCAACTGGTGACTACCACCATGTTGATTGTGTCGTAGAACAAATAAATGTACCAATTTCGAGTCTTGACGTTTGCTTTGTAGAGAGCGGTGAGACAATCAAATAAATCTACCCCTCCCATGTGTTTGTTGTACGTGCGAATTACAGCAGGGCAATTTACTGCAGTTTTTTCCTTCAGTTTTTTGTCCCACCTGGTAACATTCTCAACAGATTCTGGTCCAACATAAGACGAAATGACGTCCACTTTCTTGTTGTCGTACTATCGAACGACGACGATACATGTATTGGAGTCAGCATCCACTAGACTCAGCCTTCAACTTGCAACCTTTCAAGCGGTTTTCACGGACAATTCCCACATATAGCAGTCCTTTCTCCTTCAACTGTTTCACCAAGTTTACGCTCAAAAAGAGGTTGTCGGCAAAAATTTTGTAATTCTTTCCATATTCCAAGTTCTTCACCATGTCCTTGACAACATCACCTCCCATGCCTAATTCAGATCTACGAGTATGAGCTCCATTTGAACCTTGATACACATCAAAGTCGTGCAGAGTGCCTTCACTTCCGCAACAAGCCCACAACTTGAAACCCCATTTGTGGGGTTATTTCCGAATGTATTGTTTCAGACTACGCGGACCTTTGAAAGATACCATAATTTCATGAACAAACTGATGCTTAGACGGAACAATCTTTTTGAAATTGGACTTTAGATCATGGATCCATGGACGGAGTTTCTATACACGATCATTGCTTGTGCTGTCATCATGAGTCTCATTGCTGACAAAATGCAATCGTTTTAAGAAACAAATTAAGTACCGGTAGTGAGTGTTTCATAGTTTGTACAAATACTCTTGTATAGAGAAAAATAACTTTATGAACCCTTACATACAGTCTAAAGACTGTTTACTGTATGTATTTACACTGAAATGAAGTCAATCTGCTTTTTTTATTTTTCCAGTCAACATGAACTTTTTGACATTTTACATTGAAACAGGACTATGTGATAAAAATCAGGACTCAAATGCCCAATGTTCCACATCTGGCACACAAAAACGTCCAGGGCTGCCCAGTGTGCCGTATTTAGACCATACCTAAAAACAACCCCATAAATCAAAATTTTAATGTTGAACATGGAATTTGATGGTGATAATATCTAAATCTACATTGTTTCAAAACATATATTAGGAAAAATTGACAAAATTATGTACCTGACGGTTGATGGTGATAGACTGAAGAAGAGTGGGTGCGGTTGTCTATTTCAAGCACAAGTGGTAAAAAACAGGAAGTTGAAAGGGGAAATTATTGCACAAAAAAATCCCCCAAGGGCACTCAGGGGATGATTTTCCAGTTACCTACCTCATGAAATTACCGAACATAACAAAAATTAATTAGTGCTTCCCCTGAAGCTGGTCATTTGACATGTGCCAGATATGGCACTGTGGGCACTAGAGGGATAAATAATACTAATGTTAAGCTAGATACTTACTCAGTGTTCTGATTGTAACTCAGTGGTGTTCTGATGCATGCTCCAAGTTCCAATGAATACTTGTAACAAGATGGTTAAGATGGAAAAATTATTTATTTTATGTTGATCAATAGGTAATAACTAGATCTATGTGTTGATATTTAATTATAATACAATTGATTGAGTATAAGGCAGATGTGAAAATTTTCCGGAAAGGATAAATATTGAGGATCGAATGCTAGATTGTAGGATAGCAGAGCTGGTCTATCATCTGCTATGTATTGATGATTCCTTTAGCCTTAAGGGTGAAGAGTATTCATTCATATCACTTACTTCAAGCTTTCAAATGTTTAATATGGGGCTCAAGTTTCAGTGCATTCTAGATTTATGGCAGTAGTGTTTTTTCTAAATGTAATATCTTTGCTGAGATTAGGCCATATTCTTGTTTATTCACGACCAGTTATAATTCACGACATCAACAGTGCTGTGTATGCAGCATCATTTTACCATGAACTATTCTTTTGTAATTCCATGGACTTCTTCTTGTCGTTTTGTTTTCCTTCTTTTACTAGATGGAAGGTACTGCTGGCAGTCCATTTTTTTCTTCCTCTAACTGCAATTTTTCAGTGGGGGAGTAGTACAAGAATACCTTTACTCTGCTCTTGCTTTATCTGGATCGATAACAACAACAGCTCTTGCTTTATATATATGGATATTTTAAAGACCCGCACTTCAATGATATCATTACCTTGAATAACATTTTCTCTTTTGATCTATTTTCGCCAGGCTGAGGAAACTGATGAACTCTTTGCTGCTTCTGTGGAAAGAGATCACTTCATCTTGGGTGTGTAAAGTTCTCGTCTTCTAGCCCGACATCCTGAGCTGACCACATATGAGAACTTGATGATGTTCCCCTGAATCCGGTTCCTTGTTCTTAGACCCAGTGCCATGGTTGTACTGTGATTTGCTTTATGCACAGTAGGCTCTTAATCTCAAACAAGACCAAATCGACTAACAAAACTGACCTCCATTTTTCTCAGCATTAAATGTGTGTTGGGGTAATTTTAAACTCTTTGAATCTCAGCCCCCTAGGATTGTTTAGGTGGGGGGTTTTTTAATTCAGAAAAAGATAAAAATGTTGGGTACATTTTTGTGAACTGCTTTCTCTTAAGGTATATGTATTTATTCAAGATCTCTCACTATGCACACACACACACATTCCATAACTGTAATGAGAGCTTCGAGCATGTTTGGTCAACATAGGATGTTGTGGGCTGGTTCATTTGTTACTCTATTTTTGCTGTTGTAGAAAGTCTTTTTGTGGTAAAAATTTCAAGCTGTCTTTCTTTGTGTTCAATTTGTGGTAGTCTTTACTACCGATCATGGAAATGTAGATAGTACCAAGACTTAGTTATGAAATGGTCACTCTGTGTATATATTTTTTAGTACTTTGTCTGATTGGAACAAATACAATTGGTTATGGTCACCAAAGTTTAATTTATGTGTCTGGATATTTTGCGTAAAGCTTAAAAAAAAGGCCAATTGAAACAAAAAATCTTTTAAAGATTATTACTTAGGAAGAAGGCAGCAGAAGTTGCCCTTTCTCATTAATTATGCTCAAACTCAATGTGTCTTGTACTAGAAGTTTTTATTAGTAGATATTTAGCTTTTGTTTACATTTTTCGTTTTGTGTGTCGCTTCAAGTTTCCATAATTGCCCACAAATATATTGGGGTACTTTTCCTTTATTTTTACATTTTGTTGTTTATAAAAGCAATGCTTTAAATGTTAGTTATGTTAGCTTTACCAGAAACTGAAGATCATTGTTTTATTGCTTGCCTCACTTAAAAGGCTTCTGTCCAAAGAATTCTCAACAGGTTTGGTAAAGATAAACATTTGTAAGAGAGGAATCTCATATAAGTTTAGACAATATTATGTCTGAAAACAGCTTTACTTTTTGTTGATCTTACATCTTATGGTTTAATTCTAAAACCTGTTGCAACGAACGAATTTGTTAAAATGTGGAATTGAAATAAAGCGTTTCCTGTTTAGTTTTTCATTTCATGTGTTTTTCATTTGATTTTGTCAGCCTGTAAAAGTTTTTCAACTTGTAGCTCTGTGTGTGAGTTTAACACCTTTTTGGCACAGTATGATTATCTGAATAGGCTGGACCTCAAGATTCATTGTCCTCCATCAGTACTGGTAGGACTAAGTCAATGGGAAGAGAGCCTTGGGAACTCTTCAAGCAACCTGAATTAAAATATATACTGTTTGAGATTCAAGCTAGGGTTGCCTGGACTGCAGTCCAGCTGGAGACCATGTGACTTACTGTCAACAACACTTCAACTTGAGTTTCTCTGGTGGGGGTTGTGGGTCTCTTCTTCAAGTTGCTACCTCTACAAAGTTCTGACATTTTTGTTGCTAAGACCCTGAGGTCAGAAACCGAATGTTCTGTCTCATCTATCAAAATTGTAAGATTATTCGGAGTCGTATCAAGATATTTAAAGAACAACATTTAAAAAAGCTTGACATGTGAAATTTATATTTTTTATGTCTTATTTCTTAAAACTAGGTAATGAGCAGACAGAACTTTGCAATTCTGGGGTAGCGAAGTGGCAGATCTGAAAAAGACAACATACTAAACGTGAATTCGAAGCACACAGGAATGTCGATGCTCACAGTGCTCTCACTTTGATGCAATTTTAGTGACCAGAAATGAGATTTCCAGTGACTTGACAGGCGACTAAGGTGCCTGTACTTTAAAATAGTTGATGGTTCTTGACTTGGTCCATTGTTTAAATGCCCGAACTGACGTTAACAACACGATTTCCTCCCTAGACCAGATGACAGGAATCCACCAGCTTCAATATGGAGCCACATCTGAACAAAAACAAACGATTACTTATGTATTTATAAAATATTTATGATATATCAAAAGCAAGCAACTATACAAGATATTTGAGTTGGTACAATGATAGACAACAGCCTGCCCGTCTGTCATCTGCTGGCCTATTACATTACTGCATAGATGACACACACTCACACACACACACAAACTTAGTGTATGGCTCAGAAAAGGTACAAAGTGGACGTAATGCAAAGCATATATGCATGTAGGTGTAATTCAAGAACCCCAAACGTATCCCTGCCATATTGATATTGAATAATTGATACTGATATTATAATATCTTGTATCATTTCTACAGTTACTTGCTTTTAACTTTATCAGTCTTATGCAGTTTTCCCCTTGAAAAACATCGGACCTGAGTATGAGGACCATTTTCCAATGAAAATGAGTCTAAAATTAAATAAATTGAACGTTGTTTAACATTTTGAAAGGAAACTTTCTTGAATGTTGTACTTTTGACATAGTGGGAATAAGACTTATTTTCCTATAATTTTTTTACAAGTTCGCCAAACTACAAACAGGCATTTGGCAATTGATTAGAAGGAAATAACCTATGATATGTGAATGACAGCATCAGAACCTATTAAGGTTGGAATTTGAAAATCTCCACAAACGGATTGACAGAACAAGGAAGTCGCCTACATGTCCATATATTTTATATAAAAGTTATGAAGTCATGTTTTATGGGAGTGTACACACCAGCAGACATACCGATATTTGAGGATTCTTTCTTAAATTAACGTCGAGACCACTTAATTGCACATCACAACCACCAGATTATACAGAACCCCCCCCCCCCCCCCCCCCCCCCCCCCGTCCTCTTAGGCTGATATCCAACGATAGACTAAAAGACCACAGTTGCGACAGGCGACAGTAAACGCGATGCTTCTGTATAATTGCTAATGTCCTGTCTTCCTGTGCGTGTACATGAGTGCACCTAAGCTTTGTAACATCAACTGCCATTGTAAACGATCAAGACAAATTTCTCCCTGCGATATGCATAAAGATTGTTATTGTCATTGAAGACCGCCGTATCGCGGTAGACCGGCAACTAAACCGGCACTCTTCAGGCATATCTGCTTTTCCTCAAACAACATATACAGTGCGAAAGCGAAAGTCATTCCATTCCGTTCCTGTTCTTTTGAAATCAATTAGATATTTATATCTGTCCCCGTCGTTTTATGCAGAAAAATTCTGAAATTATGCAAACTGAGCCCATCAATGTGAAATTATGCGAATGATTTAATTTTAAACAAAGAATGAAAGGAAAATAATAAGAAATTATGCAAACAATTATCAAATTTTGCTCAATTATTCGGGGTGCATAAAATCGCGGGGACAGCTATATAATATACATACATATATCTAGGCATAATGGCCAGTGCACACTGCCTTTCGAATTCATTTGATTGAATCGATGTCAGCTAGGTTTTCTTTGAAACCATGAGTGGGGCAAAAGCTACCACATTATGTCATTTCTTTTGCATTGTGGCAAAATTTAGCCGAATTTGACTGAATTTGATTGAGACCTCCATATTCAAATGTGTTTGTTTTTCAAGGTCGCAAGTCGAATCAGTCGTATTAATAAAGTATTAAAATTAAGCCAAAATAGTAGCTTTTGCGCTGGTTCTTACATTCTCGTGTGCTAGTCCATGTGTGAGTTGAAGCACCGCGCTCCGCTAACGTAGGCCTGTATATGCCGTTTGTTCATTCCACTTGGTCCTTACTGGACGTTTCCAGAGAGAGGACATGTCGTCCCCCCCCTTTTTTTTGCACTCTCTCTCTCTCTCTCTCTCTCTCTCTCTCTCTCTCTCTCTCTCTTTCTCTACTTCACACTAACACACACGCTCGCTCGCGCGCGCACACACACACACACGCACAAACACACATGCACACAGAGGAAAGCATACAATACACTATACCATTAAAATACTACATTAGGTCTATACAGTTACCTCCCCCACCCCTTCCAATACTAAGACATTTTATGCTCGGTACAGTGTATGCGTCCCCACAGAAGTGTTGTAAACATAATATTATCATCTCAAATCATCTGTGCTTATTATGTTTTTCGGCAAAGTGCATGTCATCATTGACGTCAGTGATCATGGGACCGTATCATCAGGCGCGGTTCGTCCATAGAACACGGTCGTGCAGTGCCGCCCAAAATGTTTTAATGTTCTATTACGTAAAACACCTAGAATAATTAAAGAAACCAGAAACAAACACTAGCCAAATATTATATCAAAACAAAGGTACTCACTGGCGCCATAACTGTCATATCTCTGTCTATAGCGTCGTAAAACTTTTACCATGCCATGCCAACGTCCACCCGCTTCAGCTAAACAGAAACGTATATTCAACAGTGTGACCTGACCTATAAACCGCTCTTGGGGATAACCCAAACGATGACGCCACTCGTTGTGAGTTTGGTGGTACATTAATATAATTTATAAGCCGGCACATCTCAAATGTGCTCCTGCCGAAACATAGCCCACAGTAGGCAGTCTAAAAATAAACACGACAGACCCTACGCTATTTTTGCCAATATTATGTAATTATGTGAGTCCCGGAGCAATCCAGCGGAGTGCTCAAATGAATTGTGATTGGTTCATTGTTTGTCTTGCCACTGTTTTGAGTGACTCTGTAACAGTGAACTGAGAGAGGTGAACGTGATCGTCCTATGAGTTGTGCCTTTGAAAGGTTTTGTAGTGGAGTAGTGAAAGTTATTACATATTAGAGTGCTCAGTTCCAATACAGGATGAACGAAATTGATTTTTGGCTAACAAACAAATTTAGTACTAGAAATCAAAGCGACAAGTAAAAAGAATAAAAATTAAAGCACGAGGCCCTCACTCACCAACCCAAAGATCCTAAAATTATACACCGTCTCATTTACTATGCCCTTGACTATCTTCAGCATGCGATAGCTTAATTATTAATATTATTGTGTACGCCCACTTTTTAGCCCCACGAGCCGCCCCTGCGTATCATGTAATTACATCCTTATTCCTCGCAGCTGGCTCCAGATACTTTCTCTCTCTCTCTCTCTCTCTCTCTCTCTCTCTCTCT